ATCCAGAATAGCAGAATATACATTCTTAAGCTCACATAGAACATTCATCAAGATAAACCACATTCTGGGCCGAAAAACTCTAATTACCAAAATTTAAAAGGATAGAAATCGTACAAAGTTTGCTTTCATTACCACAGTGGATTTAAACTAGATATGAATAATAGAAAGACAACTGGAAAGTCACAAATACTTGGAAATTAAACAACATACTTGTAAAAAAAACACAGGTTAAAAAATCTCAAGAGATATTTACAATATTTTCAAGTAAGTGAAATGAAAATATAACTTATATAAAAATTTGTGGGATGCAATAAAATTAGAGTAGAAGAAAGATTATGAAGTTAATAATCAAAGCTTCCACATAAGTCTCCATCTTGGGAAACCAAAAAAGAAGAGCAAATTAATTCAAACTAGGAAGAAGAAAATAAATAGTAAAAATTATAGCAGAAATCAATGAAATTGAAAATGAAACCCAAGAGAGGAAATCAATAAAACGAAAAGTTGATTCTTTGAAAAGATCAATAAAATTGATGCAACTTTAGACATGTTAACAAAGAAAAAAAGAATGAAGACATAAATTAATAAGACTAGAATTGAAGGAGAGTCTATAATTACTAATCTCATGGACATTAACAGGATAATAAAGGAATATTTTGAATAACTCTATGCCCACAAATCTAATAAACTAGATGACATAGAGCTATTCCTTAAATGACACAATCTACCAAAACTCACACAGTGTGAAACAGATAAACTGAATAGGCCTATCTATATTAAAGAAATGGACGCAATAATTTAAAACATTCCAAAACAAAAAGCACCATACCCAGATGGGTTTACTGGTGAATTCTACTAAACATTTAAGAAAGAAATTATTCCAATTCTATACAATCCTTTACAAAAAATAGAAGCAGAATGAATACTCCCCAACTCAATCTAGGAGTCCAGTATTACCATAATACCAAAACCATACAAAGATATTATAAGTAGGATAGGCTACATAGCAGTACCACTCAGAAATATTTGTGCAAAAATCTTCAAGAAAATATTACCAAATTAAATTATATAATACATACAAAAGTTGAACAAGTGGGATTTATTCTGTTATGCAAGGTTGGGTCAACATTAAAAAATCAGTTAATGTAATCATCACACCAACAGTCTAAAGAAGAAAAGTTTATGATCATATCAATAGATATAGAGAAAAGATTTGACAAATTCCGATACCCATTCATGATAAGAAAAAAAAATTAGCTCTCAGCAAAGTAAGAAGAGAAGAGAACTCCCTTAACTTCATGAAGAATACGTACAAAATACCTACAGCTAACATACTTAATAGTGAGAAACTAGATGTTTTCCACTAAGATAAGGAGCATGGCACATGTATCCCTTTTCATTGCCCCTATTCAATATTGTATGGTAAGTTCTTGCTAATAAAATAAGACAAAAATAAAAAATAAAATAAAACTATACAGATTGGGGGGAAAGAAATAAAATTCTCTCTGTTTGCAGATGACATGATGGTCCATGTAGAAGATCCCAAAGAATCAAGAAAAACAGCATAAAAACCTCCTGGAACTAATGAGAAAGTATAACAAGGTTTCAGGATACAAGGTTAACATACAATCGTCAATTGCTTTCTTATGTACCAGCAATTAACAATTAAAATTTAAAATTAAAAACAATACCATTTATGTTGGTACTAAAAAAATTAGGTACTTAGGTATACATCTAACAAAATATAAGGAGAAATAAAATACTCTAAAGAAAGAAATCAAGTAAGATTTAAATGATGAGAAATTATATGTACAAAGACTCACTATTTTCAAGATGTCACTTATTTTCAAATTTACCTATAGATTCAGTGCAATCCCAATCAAATTTCAGCAAGTTATTTGTGGATATTGATAAACTGATTCTATAGTTTCTATGGAAAGACAAAAGACCCAGAATAGCCACACAAAATCAAAGGAGAAGAAGATGTATAACTGAAACTACCCAACTTTAAGCCTTTTTATAAAGCTGTAGTAATTAAGGCAGTGTGGTATTAGCCAAAGAATACATAAATAGATCAAGAGAACAGAACAGAGAGCCCCCAAGGAGTCCCACAGTAGTACAGTCAAATGATCTTAGACAAAGAAGCAAAAGCAATTCAATGTAGAAAGGATAATATTTTCAGCAAATGATTCTGGAATAACTGCATGTGTGCATGCAAACAACAACAACAACGACAACAACAACAAAGAACCTAGATAGAGACATTACACCTCTCACAAAATTAACTCCAATGGATGAAAGACTTAAATGTAAAATGCAAAATTATAAAACTCCTAGAGGAAAACGGAAGAAAATCTAGGTGATCTTGTGACTGGTGATAAATATTTAGACTAAAGCATTATTCACGCTAAGAGAAAAGGACAAGTTGGACTTTATTAAAACTAAAAACATTTGTTCTGTGAAAGACAGTTAAGAGAATAATTGCTATAGCTTTGTAGTATAATTTGAAGTCAGGTTGTGTTATGTCTCTGGTTTTGTTTATTTTTTTATGCTCAGGATTGCTTTGGCAATTCACGGTCTTTTCTTGTTCCATATAAATATTAGGATCTTTTTTTTTTGTTTTTTGTTTTTCCTATTTCTGTGAAGAATAACATTGGTATTTTCATGGGGACTGCATGGAATCTGTATATCTCTGGGTAGTATGAACATTTTCACAATGTTAATTCTTCCAATCCAAGAGCATGGAATGTCTTTCCACCTTTTTGTGTCTTCTTTAATTTCTTTCAACAGTGATTTGCATGGTACTGGCATAAAAACAGACACTCGGGCCAATGGCACAGAATGGAGAACACAGAAATCAACCACGTACTTACTGCCAACTGTTTTTCAACAGAGGCACCAAGAACATGTATTGGGGAAAAGATTGACTCTTCAATAAATGGTGCTGGGAAAACTGTACATCCATTTGTAGAAGAATGAAACTAGACTCATCCTTCTCGCCATATACCAAAATAACTCAAAATGTATTAAGGACTTAACTATAAACCAAAATGCTGATAAGGATGTGGAGCAACAGGAACTCTCATCTATTGCTGGTGGAAATACAAATGGTGCAGCCACCTTGGAAGACAGTTTGGCAGTTTCTCACAAAACTAAATGTACGCTTGCCATGCAGTCCAGCATATCACTTTTCTTGGTATCCACCCAAATGAGTTGAAAATTTATGTTAACACAAAAACCTGTACACAAATGTTTATATCACTTTTATTAATAACGGTCAAATCTCAGAAGCAACCAAGATGTCCTTCAGTAGGTGAATGCCTAAACAAACTCTGTGCATGCGGATAATAGATTATTCAGTGATAAAAAGTGAGTTATCAAGCCACAAAAACATATGGAAAACCTTGCTTTACATGGCATGTTGCTGTGTAAAAGGAGTTGTTCTGAAAAGGCTATTGTATGATCTCAACTATAGGACATTTTGGAGAAGGCAAAACTATAGATATATTTTAAAAATCAGTGGTTTCAAAGGGTTTTGGAGGAGGGAGGAAAAGATTAATAGACAGAATATGGGGGACTTGTAAGTCAGTGAAACTATTCTGTGTGATACTGTAATGGTGGGTACATGTCATTATACCTTTCTTAAAACTTGTGTAATGTACAACACAAACAGTGAACTCTAATTAATTAATACTAATGTACCAATATTGGCTCATCAGATAATGCAAGATATTAATAATAGGGGATACTTTGGGGAGGGGTGAGAGGGTGTATGTAACACTCTATATTGAGCACACAATTTTTCTGTGAACCCAAACTTCACTAAAAATAAAGTCTACTAATTTTAATTAGTCACTTATTTGAGATATTTGAACACCAAATCAAATATTGGTTTTTAAGATTAAAGTCCATAACAAAAAAAACTTCCAAAAAGAAAGAAACATTTTTAGCTGGTGATTATAGAAAACCAACCTGTAATGATCTTACCGTCATTAGCATAATAGATGTTGTTCAATCTTGGTTCACATATCCAGAGAACTTTTTTGCTATAATAAAAGGTTGGTTATATCAAGGCTCTCTCATACCTGTTGGTGTCATCCCAAACCATCTTAAAATAAATTAATCCAAATATTAAAAATATTGATAGGAAAATTTACCCCAAAACCTCTACAGGTGGCCCAATCTTGCCATAGTGGCAATGATCATAACCCACAAATAAATGTAAAATTAGAGCAATGCTTAAAACTCTTGTCAGAAGGGCCATATAAGCATTTTCAAATGAGGTTTATTCACTTGATCATACTCTACACTTTGAAATATATTCTAAAATTGTTTATACATACAATCGCACTTCAAAAAGTTCACGGAAAGATTCATATTATCTTTTAATAGTATTTTTTTATGATCTTTTGAAGTACCCTTGTGTATTCTATGTAGAGTGAAGCTTTCCACAACTTTTTCTGCTTCACTCCTGAATCATTCTAAAGGGAAATTTAGAGTTTCCAGACAGCTAGTTCATTGTCCCCACAATCACTGAGGTATAAATACATCCTTCTGCATTACTATCTGTGAAAGTTCTGGTTTCTTTGGGAAGTTTACTCTTAATATCACTTTTAATCTACCATTTTCAGCTAACACCATGTGACAATAGGAGTCAAATAGATTCAAATTGATCAGCCAGAGTAATGTGTTGATATAAATTTCTGACATTTAAAACAATCATTTTACCTCCATATCCTCATATTTCTAATTCTTTTAAAAAAGACATTATTTTAAATAATAAAATAAATATTCTAATTTAGCTATCCCATATACTAACATGGCTACTCAATCTAAAAGGATTTTCAGATCCATAAGATGTATTCCCATTTTCAGGGCTAGAATTTAGATAATCCTTATTCTTAAATAAAGCCTCTTCTTGGGAATTTTTTCTCATTTTTATTGCATAAGCAAACCACACCTTGTAAGGGAAAAAATCCACTGAACAAAAATTGTTCCCTCATTCATATAATCCTCATCTTCCGCAGTGCTCTGTAGAAGGCGCCCTTCACCTGATTGTTCCTCAGACTGTAGATGAGCGGGTTCAGCAATGGGTTGAAAAGGCTGTAAAACAGGGTTAGGATTTTCTGCTGCTCCTGTTGCTGACTCTTGTCTGGGACCAAATAAATCATCATGGCTATACCAAAGTAGAGCCCAACCACACAGAGATGGGAGGAGCAGGTGGAAAAGGCTTTCTTGCGGCCCTCCTTTGACTGGATCTTTAGGATGGCCCAGAGGATGCACATGTAGGAGATTAGCACCAAGGATAGGGGCCCAACTAAGACAAACACACCACCAGCAAAGACAAAAATTTCATTGATCCAGGTGTCAGCACAAGCCAGTTTGAGGACAGATAGGATTTCACAGAAGATGTGGTTCACTTCCTGAGGTCCACAGAAGGGCAGCCTTAGAAGGAGAATTAGATTTATTAGGGCCAAGAAAAATCCACATGCCCAGGAAGTGACAGCCAGGACCGTGCACACTCTCCAGCTCATGATGACAGTGTACTGAAGAGGATGGCAGATTGCTACAAACCTGTCATAGGACATCACCACTAAAATCATGCATTCTGCAGCAGCAAAAGTCAAAAACAAAGCCATTTGTATAATGCATGAGACAAAAGAGATGTTTTTTTTGTGTTTCACTAGGTTGTCAAGCATGTTGAGCAAATTGCTGGAAGCATAGGAAATGTCAATTATGGCCAGGTGTGAAAGGAAGAAGTACATGGGGGTGTGCAGTCTGGGGTCCAGGTAGATGAGTCCCAAGATCATGCCATTTGCCATCAGGCTGAAGACGTACAACAGGGAGAAGACCCAGAAGAGGAGCACCTCCATCTCTGCACTGAGCTGGAATCCCAAGAGGATGAGCTCTGTGATCCATGACTGGTTGCCCCCCATTCCTTAATGACAATGTGGAAAGGTCCAAAGTGTGATGAAATGGTCAGAGTTGGAGAATTAAAATTATGTGGAGCTATTTATCTCCAAGTGAGTTGAAAGGAAACTTTAATACTTGTTTCTGCTTGACCTTTTTTTTCATGTTTCTCTGCCTGTTTATAACATTTTATTGTGAAGTAATTCAAATTTTCTGATAAGTATCAAGTATTATAAACAGTGCTTCTAAATACACTTCATCCAGATTCAACAATATTAATACTTTTTGTTTGCTAATTTTTCTATTTTCTCCTTATTAATATACCTTATTTAATTTAGGGATAATGTTACTTCGGGCTAACGTTCCATTCATGATACCAATTTACTCTTACCTTTTAAATTTTATCCAACAATACAGTTATTCACTAATTTAACCAGAGTACCATTAGCAAAATCAGGAAATATAATATTGACATCATACTCTTCTCTAAATATAGTATTTTCTGTCCCTCATGTCGAAGATGCAAGCCAAGATCACATAGTCTATTTAATCTACTCTTATCTGGGATCGTTACCCAGCATTTTTCTGGCTGCCTGGACATTGATGTTTTTGAAGATTTCAGACCAGTTGTCTTGTTGAATGCTACTCAATATTGATTTTTTAGTGGTCTTCCTTAGTTTTCTCAGATTTTACATATTGGCAGGAACCGCTCACTGGCTGAGCGAGGCGCGGGAGCAACACCGAGGCTTGCGATCCCGTTGCCGGTCCCCGGTCCGGTACGGGGGCAACACTGAGGGTTGCGATCCGTTGCCGGACACGGAAAAAAGACAAAAGACAAAAAAAAAAAAAAAAACCTGCTACAGAAATATCTTATTTTTTTTTAACTTTCAGCCACTCATTATAGCATCCATTGATTATCTTACCTGATTCAAATATAAGAACTGTATTAGTAGTGATAGTTGTGAAATGTATTGTTCTATCTTCATCATTCCTTTTATATTTACTAGTTGGCTTTGCTGTGAGAATGGGCTCTACCTAGCTATTTATCTAATCTATCAATTTGAACTTATGCATATTTTTATTCAATTGGTTATAACTATTACTGCCTTTATTTTTATGCTAATACTTAAATCTCCTAGATTGGGATCATTCGGGATGATTCCTGTGCCCTTTTAATATACTGTATGAGTCCTTTTTGTGTTGTTATAACAAATACCTGATACTGGGTAATTTATGAAGAACAGAGGTTTATTTGGTTTACGATTCTGGGACAGCTGCATCTGGCACAGGCCTCAGGCTGCTTCTACTCATGGCAGAAAGCAGCAGGCAGCCAGTGGGTACAATTAGATCAGATGGCAAGAGGAAGCAAGAGAGAGAGAGGAGAGGTGCCAGGGTCTTTTAAACAACCAGCTCTCGTGGGAACTAGTAGAGTGAGAACTCACTCATTAATCCCCCCTCCCCCAGGGAGAGCATTAATCCATTCATGAAGGATCCACCCCCATGACTCAATCAGTTTCCAACACTGCCAAATTGGGGATCAAATTTCTGTATGAGTTTTGGAAAAACAACACATCCAAACTCTATCATATACTGTCAAAAATTTTTTAACACTTTCTTCTGGTATAAAATGATGTTCTAAGCTCATCTTACACAAGTCCCAACTCAGCTTGAATCAGTTAATTCAGTAAAATGGTCTGCTTTCTTGTAGTGGATAATCATATTTCAAAATAATATCTGCGTTTTATTGGATGTATAATAATATTTTTGGGCAGTTGTTGCCAAATTTATGATACTCTCATGTGAAAGGGAGAATATGTAATTTGGTACAGTACACAAATTGTTACAGGGGTTAATACATTCTCAAACTTACTTCTGAAAGCCTAACAACCTTACTGACCTTTAGAGAGCCAAATCTATTTTAATAAATTAACATTAGCATCAAAGAAAATGAAATTTATAGCACTGTGACGGCGTGGTCCACGCCATGGCAGTATCCTAAAGGAGTCAGCTTGGGCTGCCCTCTCCAAGTTGGCAAGGCCGCTGGAGGGAGAGCTGCTGGCAAAGCTGCAGCTACGAGCACTTGCTGCAACCAGAAGGGCTGCCTGCGTAGGCTTTGTGGCTTTTGCCTTCTCTTTCGATATTTTGGTTAGCGTGGCAGTTCTCTGAATTCCCAAAAGATTATAAAAATAACACAAATAATTATACAGTAATTGAATTAAACATTCCCACAGAGGATCCGAGTAAATTGGACAATTCAAAATTATCCCCTTAT